TTTGTTAATATATGATAATGAAAAGAGTAGTTTTTTTTAATGCTTTTGTAGATTAAGGTACATTGATACTCTGATAAGAGAGATAACTCTTAATGATACTAATGTCTATTATTCCTTTATAAATTTGTCAAGTTGAAGTGTCTTTTTTGTCAAAGTTGCCATGATAAAATTGATTATATTTTATTAAGCATATTCTTTTCTTTTGGAAAATCATAAAAGTTAAAGAAATATTTTATATGAGAAAGCAGAGGGTTTATGAACCTTAAGAATTTACCAATATACATTATGAAAATATCACATAAATTATGAAAATAATTCATATGATTTACTATATCATGATCAAGTAAAAGTGTTTGATATTACTCCAAATTTGACCCATAACATTCCATGTCATGATAAATTTAAACAACCAATACATCCATATTTTTTATTAAAACATGTTTGAAATTAAAAAAAAAAAAAAAAAAAAAAAAAAAATTGGAAATCTATATATAAACAAAAAGTATTAGCTATTGCAGAAACAGGCATATCAGACTTTAATTATAGATTATCAAATAACTTTTTGTGTTATAGAGAAATGTTGAGGAAATGGAAAATTGTTGAAAATGAAATGTGTGTTTTTTGTGGAAATGTAAAAGAAAACAATGAACATCTTATTCTAAAATGTGTCTCATATATGGGATATTGTTCAGCAACTTTTGAAATTTTATATATCATGGAAAAATATTGTTATTGGATTTTATAATGAAAAAAAAAAATGAAAATATATTATTTTTGAATAGCATTATATCCCTGATTGATTGTAAAAGTTACAAATAATAAATGTACTGTAGACTAGAAAACAAAGAAGAAAAGCCTCAAGAAATATGTTATCATATCAAGAGTATATTTAATATTTTTCTGAAGTATATAAGAAAATACACCATAAGAAATGTTGTAATGTTATAAAATGTATTAAAGGCAAATTATAATTCATAAACCCATTGTAGAATAAGCCTGTTGTTCTACAAATCCTATCTTGGAGACAATAAATAGACTGTATTTGAGCTGGAGGTGTGATCTCTCAAATATATATGGGTACCTATACAATTATACACAAGATATTTAGCTGAAAGTTTCGTCTTTTTCTTCGTTTTGATATTTTATGATAAAATATATACATTTGTGGTATCTCTCCACTATATAAACATACAGAAAGAAAATATCTTCAATTCTGTATGAAGTTTGTCAGAGGTCAAAGGTCAATACATGACCGAATCACACGGCGCAATAATATCTACCCGGTACATAAATTATAAAATGACCTGCTCTACTTGCTTTTCATGTATAAAAATGAATAAAATAAGCAAGTTAAATGATAATTATTTTATTTTAAATGTAAACAAGTATTTCATACAGTTTTTGGGCTATCGATTCAACCTGTGTACATAGAGAAAGCTAGGAGCCTAGCGTTTGTTTACATTTTTCTTCACTTTTGTCAGCTGCACAGTCTCTAACGTTCATCCTTATTTTTTGGATAGACCTTTGGTTAAATTTTCATGATAAACTTTTATTTTATCTTTAAATTTTACTCACGATAAATGTGTATATCTGTTGGAAAATATCTTTGCAATCATGCCATGAACAACTGCCAAACACCTCGGCGTTTTCGTAGTTCAATGTAAAGCTGTCGCCAGTGTCTCCGTGTTTATCAGTGTTTTACGATAAGTATGCCTTTAGTTACTGAAACCGTAGAATGTTTTTGATCAAATTGCAAATTAACTGGCCCGGACAAGTGTCTCAGTCCATCGGATCCATCCATCCCTTTCCAGCGACCGAAATTCCTCCAACTTTTTATCGTCAAACTTCGGACGTGTTTCTTGTGTCTTTTCAGCATCGATTAACATTTTTCACGAATAAAATATTCCCAGACAACAATCTGTTCACTATTACTGATCACAAGTAGCCTTTCACAAAATATTCCCTTCGAAATAGATTCCTTAGCCTAATGAATTTGAAGCGTAACCGCCATGCAAGCCGATTTACACCTTGCGTCATTTTTCAAAATCTACGACGGACGGTTAGTGCAATAATTTAAATTCGAAAATATTCATATTGTCTGTCTCAAATGTATATATAAGTAATAAATAACAAGTTTATAAACTTCAATGGGAATTGAAGTGGGTCGGTACGTGATCAAATCTGAGAAGGCCTTCGGCCTTCACAGGATTTGATCACGTGACCGACCCACTTCAATTCCCATTGAAGTTTATAAACTTGTTATTTATTTCTTAATTATTCTATGTGACTTTATAAATGACAAATAGAAAGAATGTTATGGTTCAAACTATCAAAGCAATGCATTGTGTGTAACATGTATGTGATGCTTTGTTTTTCTAATAAAATGTATAAAAAAAAATACAACCTGAAGCTAATAAATCCGAAACAGTCTCTGAAACAAAACTGTAAAGCGTACGAAAAGCGCAAAGTCTTGAGCTTAAATGATATAATAAAAATCACAGAGTATGCCAGTCATGTTGTACATAACCTGTTTAACAAATATTACTAAGCGTTACTCTTACATCCTATAAATATCAACCACGTGCTCGATATAAACATGTTATATTTATCAACCTGCAATAAATATATATGCATTTCCGTTGCGTTTACACAAGGAAATTTCAACGTTTTAACTGGAATACTGTTTAAAGCAGAATTGTGGGATTCTGACGAGATGCAGAGTCAATCTGATAGCATGGACTAAGACTGAAATATATGTAAAGACAGTGTGAATCGACATTTTAGGTTGCACTAAAATAAATTCATGTTTTTAAACCCAGGAGGTACAAAGTAAACAAACTGATTGGCATACCTTTCTCTCTTAACATGTATAGTAGGGTTTTTTGGGGAGTTTAAGGATTTTTTTCCTATTGGACACATGATAAATAATTGTAATAAATATCATTTGAGAAAAAATAGGCAATATGCTGTTTTAACATAGTTTAACGCGCATGTAAGAGCTTGCAACTAATTGCATCCTAGTTCTCCTAAATCTTGGTAGCAAAATACATATATTCTGTAATTTACATAAGATAAATGTATACTGTACAGTGTTACAAGTATCAAATTCAGTATAAAATGCACGGTTGAGCATCTTGTGTTAGTTCTTTAATAGATAAATTTCAGTCTTAAATTAAAGAATGTGAAGTAAATTCTAGATTTTAAAAAAAGAAAAAAATTCAGAACTTTAAAAGAAAAAAAGTCCTTCAATTGGAAATATCAAAACGTCTTGATTTTTGTTTTTATTTATTTTTTAAATCAATTTTGCCGTGAGAGTGAAATTTTTAATTTTGAAAATAAATATTATTTAACAATTGTAAAACAGAATCCAATAATCTTGCTACATCTTTTATTCTTGCAATTGACAGATATGTTTATGAAAAGTCATTGTCCAATCTATAGTAAAGCATGAGGATTGAAGCTAGGGTCTTGTTAATAAGGTTGTCTCTTCATTTCATAACCGAAATCTATTCTGCTTGAAAAAAAAATATCTCATAAAACTGTGTTAATCAAACACAGAGAACTGAAGTGAAAGCTTGAATACTGCTCAGTGAGCTAACCAACTCTATGGTTACCAATTCCGTGTCACATGTATTGTTTGAGTCATGAATAAATTAAGACCCATTCTAGATCAAGCTCAGTGGATCAAGATCAACATAAACAATACTCATGAATATCCAAAACCATCACACTCAACATACTGGACATGTGGACGTAAGCAGCATAAGGAACTTTATGTCGATGAGAAATTTAGTGCTCCACGTTTTTTTTTTTTTACTTTTTATTTTTAGCAATTAATATGGTAGATACATGTAGATACTGATGAAATACATTTTGTCATTTGTCAAATTCTAAAAATTGGTTAAATCCTTGCAATGTGGTATCAAGAATGTGTTAAATATAAACCGACTGGTTTGGATGATTAGTGAGAGTTGGAATGTGGGGACAGGCTAATCTCGCCTGCAGTGTTCGCCATTCAAGACAATGACATTAACATTACTCTCATAAAGCTCGTTACAGATGTAGAGATGAAATCTATGGAGACAACGAAAAGCATTCAAGCTCAAAATGGGAATCCAAACTTAACAATACTGAATACTTCTTCGAAAGAGGATAAATTGATCTTTTTCTTCTAAAAATCCTACCGCCACAACCTGTAGATCTTTACTTTTTTCGGTATGAATTTTTTTCATGGGATTTTAATTGCATATATAATATGCAGAAAAGCTGAGGAGCAAACCTCGATAAGTACTTGATTAATTAATGTAAAACAAACATCAATAAAGTTAATTGATTTTAATCATTTTTTTCAAAAGGGGTAAACAAACTATTATCCCTTAAAATAAGATTGTTAAGCATCACAAAATTGTCAAATATGCAAGGAAATTGATTAATCACACGGAAATCTTTCTCTATTACAAATTTATGAAAAATTCGGCATATCAGATTGAAAGAATACTAGATTTGTTAAGTCATTTGAAATCGGTAAGGAATGTTCATTCATGCGCTTTTTCTCTTTTAATCTTATGTCCCCACCCCCAACCACAAAGAGATTTGGTATGAAAGGTAAAAAAAATGTAAAAAAAAAAAAAAAACAAACAAAAAAAAACAAAAAAAACAACAAAAAAACAAAAAGCAAACAAACAAACAAACAACAACAAAAAAAACTTCATAATAGCTCTAAAAAGTTTCCTGAGTTTTACTGTAGTTAAATCTTTGAAAAATATTAACATATTATTCATTTCTTCTTGATTTCTAAGGTAAAAAAGGGTTTAGCAAAACAAAAGAGTAAACCCTCTTGATTTTTCCCCAAATAATAGTTTGATGAAAATTCATATAAATATCGATAAGAATATAAAAAAATCATTCAAATATTTTTATTTTTGAAAAATTCCTTTGAGGTAGGCGGCAAAACTATACAATTTTTCTCATTCCTTTAATAGCTTCTAAATCAGATATATTTACTTCCTACATAAACAGTATTTCTCCAGTTCGTGGTTTTCGCTGATACACGATGCCTGGTTTCCATACTTATTTATTCTACTTATGTCGCCATCTAGTCTTCTAAAATGAAACCTTTCATCATAGAATATAGTGGCCTCAAATAAAGCACCTCCTGGCTTTGTTTTGATTTTTATTTGGTAATGTGCTTGGGGCTTTACTTTTCTTTTTCTTGTTTCAAGAACACTTTCAGAAATTTGAACTTTTGATGCATGTCTAATTTCTTCTAAGGCTAAGACCTCACATTTATCCTGAACGTTACTTAACTTTCTGTTTAAGCTTCGAACAAGGAAATCGCTCAAAAAAATTATAGTATTGTCCGAGGTATTTACGACTGTATGTTCCACGCACGTACACCAGTGTGGAGCAATTCCTGCATCTTTACATGTTCTCTCCTTTGGAATCTCCCTAAATAAACTTATCCCTCTATTTTTATACCCCTTTCGTTGGAAAATCTTGTCGTCAAAGTTCAAGACGTCTCTCAATGTTTCGTAAATATCAAACGGGGTAGTAAGACGCTTCGTGTTTAATTTAAGATTTTTCGAATATAATGGATACTTTTCTTTGAACCACTTGGGAAAAACCAAATGCATCATCGGCAGTCTTTCTTCCATCATTCCTTCGTAGGTATTTCGATAGTTTCCAATACGAATTCCATGATCACTGAAGACGATAAGAAGGGTATTATTCAAAAGCTGGTCCTCATGTAATTCTCTTATGAAGTTTAGGAGGGGAAGATCCGCATACTGTGCATGATAAAACTCGTCATGAGTTAATGTTGTTGCGAATGAAAAAGCAAAATAAGGTGAATTTTGTTGCAATCGTACAAATTTAGCTGCATAATCTAATACCATACCAGTTTCTAATCGATCCATCATACATAAATCATCCGTATTCCAAACAGATTTCTCTTCTTTCATAGCCATGAAGAAATGTCGATTATAATAATCTGAGGGATATGAATGAAATCCAGCCATCATGTAATCAAAGGTTCCGCTCCTGTCCTCAATGTAAAGACTTCTGTATCCTTTAGCAGAAAATTGCTTCCAGATAAAGTTATGCTTGTCAAATGGTACGTGTCTATAGGATTCATTGTAGGGAATCTCTTCCACAAACTTTCCGAGTGTGAGTGCAGCAATATTTGGAAATGTGTTATCACCAATTTTATTATACATGGTTAGTTCGAATGCTTCTAAAACCTCATGAAGATACGCACGTGTACGCTTCAGAGATCTAACTGACTGTAACCTTGATATAGAATCTGTCCCCAACAAGATTACATTCAATTTTTCCTTAATTGCTGGATTTCCGGAATGCTCTTTGAAAGCTTTGTTACACCGTCTTTCAACGTCAGGTTTTTGAAAAACGAACTGGTGAAAGTTGGTATAAATGACCGTGTTTGTTTTGTCAAAACATTTCACACGAATGAATTCGTCGGAGATGTTCACAGATAAATAAAACTGAGCACTTTCCGGTCCATATTGAAAGAAGTTATGATTAGGGACTGAAACAGGTCTAATAATAGGTTGGTAAGTACAGCTTGAAAAAGTAGAAGATACATTAGAAAGTCTAACTGCCGTCCAATTTATTTCAAGTCTGTGTCCATTTTCAAATGTAAATGATGCTTTATTCTTACATTTAAGTTCGATTTCGCCAATTTTATACCTTATACCAGGATTGTATACATCTAATTTTGGAATCTTGCATACATTTATACAGTCTTCCGCTTTGTCGTGGCGTTGGGAGAATATGTAGGTCAATCTTATTTTAAGTGTGCCAGCTATATTTTTGTCCATTGGCATATAAAAAAGGAGGATCAAGCAGAATAGCAGAGATATAACTACGCAAATTTGCTTTCTGAAAAAGATAGAAAAGAAATAAATTATACGTTTGAAACACAAGCAAATAACATAAAGAGGTAACATGTAGTCGGAAGTGAATGTGTATATAACTCAGTTGAATTACTTATTTCTAAATAAAAAGACAGACTCTCGTTATTGGTAAATTTTAAAGAATTTCGTAGACATCGCAGAGAACTAATTTTGTAAGTTCAATAAAGCATTAATACTAGCTTTATTTTAATTCTAAGATTAGTGTTGAAAATGCTTTCTTTGCTTTCTCGTTTAATTTCACTCATGGTCTTGATCAATTGTCGACCTGTCACTTTCTTAGCTTACAATTAAGGGGTTTTTTTGTAGAAAGATATTAGATCATAAATCAAATCATTCTGTAGCATCTTTATTTCGACTAATTAATTTTATGTTATTTCTTTAGAATTAAAATGTATAATTGAACTGAACGCCAAGAAACACCCAACTCCCAACCCCCCTTTGCAAAATGACATCTAGAGGCTAGGACAAAGTTGTGGAAAGGAACATTTTAAAAATGTATTAAATTCTTGACCAGTGTTCAGAATTTTTTTGTGGTAGACAGGGCTTTATTAATCTTGTTGAGTTTGTATTCATTTGCGAGAAGTACGAGGGGCGTTCAATAAATAATGTCATTAGCTCGATGACATACAACATAGTAGTCTTATGTTCTTATTCGTTTCACTCAAACGAACATAAAACATTTATGAAATAAACACAAACTCGTGAAATAGGATATGAAGCGCTCTGAAAGTGCAGTTTAATTATTTCACACAATTAATACAAATAATATCTCTTTTTTCTAATGTCCTCATCACTCAATGTCCGAATTCTACAAAATAGAAAATAAATATTTTCAACAAGGTATAAATCTAATATAGCATTCAAAAACTAAGCAATGGGCGGGTGGGTGGGACTTATAAGACTGCACGAAATAGAGCCTTCGAATGGCTTTCTCTATACAGAATTTCTTTCACGGTCAGTAATAGCCCGTGCTATGAATATTTATGTCACCTGACTAGGTGATCATTCTAACAGCCAATAGATGACAAGAATAAACAAACACAAACACGTGTTTGCGTAACATTAATAAATACGTTTATGTTCTTATTCGTTTCACTCAAACGAACATAAAACATTTATGAAATAAACACAAACTCGTGAAATAGGATATGAAGCGCTCTGAAAGTGCAGTTTAATTATTTCGAAGATAAAGAAGATTAGAACTGAAACGAATATCCTAAATGCCCAAATTTTTAGTCACGGAAAGTTTTTCAATTTGGTTTTCTTTAACATAACCATCTTTAGAATTTTCCGACCTCCACCGCCCATGCTTTTTAAATAGTCTGTCGCTAACACCTGCGGCGGCTGCGGAGGTAGCGCCACCTGATCTCAGACTATGGACACCAAATTTACACTTGTCTAAACCAATCTTTTCAAGTGAATCCAATATGATTTCTCTTGCTCTTGTATAGGAAATTGGACGATTATCCGATCTCAGTTTATAAGTTTGGGATTTTTTACAAAATGACAGAGATCTAAACAAGAACAGAGGAGAATGCATGTCAGCGTTTGACAATTTTAAAAACTTTTCCAACATATTTACAGGACAGGTATCACAAAATGTTCTATCAATACAAACTTTATGACCAGTTTTATAAACATCTGTTTTACTTTTAACAATGTTAATTTCTGCACAATTAGTCTGTATACAGATATCTGAGTAACGAATGTTAACTATTTCTGAAAATCTCAGAAATCCTGCAAAACCTAATAAGCACATACACAATGTTCTCAAATTATATAAATTTCCATCCTCTCCAAATGTAGAAACCAGAGTTTTCAAATGTTCAGGCGTTATAGGCTCTTTTTTAATCACTGGTTTTGATGTCTCTCTAACTGCCCCTTCCTTAACAGTTTTTACCAAAGCTGAGTCACAAGGATCTATATAACCTGCTAGGCTGTGTGCCCAACTGATGGCATGTATAGCTGAATGTATTGTGCCAGACGATTTACATTGTTTTGCTAAATGGATAATATATAGTGCAACGTTGTTTTCCGAAGCAGGAAGTGATTGAATCCCAGGGTTAAAGCTGCTACACCACTTACAAAAGGTATTAAAAGCGTACCTGTACTGTTTTGCTGTATTTTCGGCCTTAGATATTACACAGTATCTGGGTAGTTCAGAAGCAAGTTCCGCTAGACGATGATCCTGTAATCCACAATTAATTCCCGTCCATCTGCCCACTTTAAATATATCTGAAAAATGTGTTTATTAAAGCAAAAAATTAGCATCTTCTAACTTTAACATATTATATGGTGTATCAGGACCTTCATCATCTGCAATACACCCTCTCTGATGTACCAGGACCACTTGTCATCTGCAATACATCATCTATACATTTGCCCAGCTCGGCAAAAATCTTTGTTTAAAAGTGGAATAATTCTAGATTATTACTTATACTGTTAGACGGGTTGAACCAGTCGTATATTTATCGTGGTATTGGACGCACGTGTATAGATAAATATATCAGAAACTGTGAAGAAAACGTAACTGTTTATTGTGTTAAGTGTACCAGGGCCTAAACCATCTGCAATACACCATCATAAACTACAAATCTGTAGCGTCTAAACGTACTACAAGTATTCCAGAGCCAAAATATACAGAACCAAATAGACAGTTCTTGTTCTGACCTTGACTGATTATCTCACTTGTATCTTTAAACAATAACACATCTTTAACATACGCCTTATAAGATAGTTCTAAATCGAATAACATTGGCCAAAAAACAGCTGAGGGCCAGTTAGGTACAATCAAAATACCATAGGCTTTGCAATCTAATAAATGTTTTATAGTAGAAACTATCAAATGAATGGGAGGAACTAGCCAGTTGTTTTCGCCCAACCAATTCTGTGTAAAACAATCTACAGCCTCTGACTCAGGATTCCAAAATTTTGAGTTGTATCTAACAAGTTTACGATTGTTAAAGTTTGCGAATCTATCTACAGAGAAAGGACCAAACATAGAACTAATAAATTCAAAAAATTCATTAGTAACTTCCCAATCATCGTGATCAATAATTTTACTAAAAAAATCTGCCTTTTCATTTTCTGATCTCGGAACCCATTGAACATCAAGGGAAATTTTGTTTTCGGCACACATTTTGAAAATATTATATGCTAAAACTTGTAAGTGATGCTTCATGCTACCAGAGTGTACTATTTTCGCACAACTTTGATTATCTGTAAACCACTTTACTGTCATATTTTGTAGTTCTTTCTTAAAAGAAGCCAGCGCCAATTCTATGGCCTTCAACTCTCTCCATGTAGAACTCATAGTTTTCTCATGTTCTTTCCACATCAAATGGAACACCTTAGAATTAACTTCAACTGTATATGCACTTGATGCTGAATTACTTGCATCTGAATAAATGATTACATTTTTTCTTTTAACAGAATGTAAAAATCTTGTACTGTCACAACGCATACATTCTACCCAAAATTTTAGTTCTTCAAACACTTGATCTTTATGCTTGAAAAATAGCTTAGAATCCCATGATTCTTTAAAAGCAATTTCCATAGAAGAAAACCTTGTCATAATATTGCAAATGTTACCCATTACTGGAGTCATAGAAATGATCTTCCCCACTACTCTTGCAAGTTCCCTCGCTGTTACATTTGGAAAATGAGTGATAGTTTTCTGTAGACAACAGATAGCATCATCGATTCGTCTGTCCGGAACTGAAATAGAGAATAGATTTGAATTCCACGTTAAACCTAACCATTCAATGACCTGTGTTGGTATAAAATGTGATTTCTCAACATTAACCACCAGACCAACTTCTGACAACGTTTTCTGAATAAATTGAGAATCTAAAAGACATTGGTCCTCAGTAGGAGCGAACGCCAAACCATCATCTAAATATAATACAATCATAATGCCACTTTTTCTCAAGTATTTCACGATGGGTCTTAAGCATTTAGTAAAAATGAATGGAGCTGACGATAGACCAAAAGGGAGAACCGTATAGCAGTAATACTTGTTTTCCCACTGGAATCCTAAATAAGTTTGATAATTCTCAGCTATATCTATGTGATGATATCCTGATTTCAGATCAAATTTAATACAGTAAAAACCCTTTTCAAAATAATCTAATGCCGTCTTCCAGTCTTCAAATTTAATTTTATCATACTTGACATATTTATTTAGCCTACTTAGATCAAGGATCAATCTCTTTTTGTTTTTGTTTTCGGCGACACTCAGTGGACTACACACAAATGGCTGAAAAGGAACTTTTAAAATACGTTTGTTTTCCATCAAATCTGAAATTTCTGAAGTAACAAATTCAAAATTGTTAATAGCAGACTTGTTATTTTGAAAACACATAGAAGGAGGATTTGAAACGAAAGGAATTTCATATCCAGATTCAATAACTTTCAAAATAAAAGGATTTGTACCAATTTCTCTCCATTTACTAACATTTCTTTTCAAATTGTACTTTATCAATGACATTTGTTTTGAATTATTTTTCTGAAGGCATTTCACCTGCCCAGCAAGAGTAGAATAGCTTGTATAACCTGTATACTTATCATTGACTTTGTGACTTGTTTTTGGGGCAGTTGGTTTTCCAGTGTCCAGTGGAAAAACAGTTGAAGCATACGTCGCTGGGCTGTGGTTGACGCCTTGTGAGTTTGCCACGAAAGGGCTGCTGCTGATATGTATATGGCTGAGATGTAGCAGTAGAGGAAGAACCAGAAGTAAGCTGGGCTGCCGAGCCTGCCGCTGCTGACGCTGTTGAAGCTCTGTAGGAGCCATACGGGTGGAAACGCTTGTTCTGGGTTTGCCTTTGCTGCCTAAGGGCTCGGTTTTCAGTGCTTCTAATTTTCTTCTCATCGTCAGAGTTGTCGGCAATTTCTCTGGACTGATA